AGTAAATTACTAAAGCTTTTCTACTTAACAGGGTTTCTCCTCTGGTAGATTTACTGTCAGATCCCTTTCCAAACAGACAAGATGTTTACCATGTTTTAAAGAACATAGGTTTCCACTGAAAGAAAAATCTTACACACCACTGTACATTAAGGTTAAAAAACTGTCCTGCATGAAAAGTACACTTAGAAATCATGTGAATAAAAGAAAAAGAAAAATTGTGTTTTAAAGTCCTCATAATGTGCCATCTAAATGTAGGTCATCATTCTTCTAGAAGTTGCTTAGGTGTAGGGATTCCTTGCTTCTGCCCCTTTCACTTATTTTGACTGATTTTAACCAACAGTATTCATTACGGCAAATGAATCCATTTTTGAGAGGGTTAAGGAACTTGTGGCAAACTTTTGGCATTAAAATAAGTGAACACATACATAGCCTTTAGCAACATACATTAAGCATATTTTTTTCTTGGACTAGTGACAAGAAAAGATGAACATGCTTGTTAACAATGTAAAAAAAGTTTAAAATTCAGCATCCAAGCAATTCCTAACAATGCTTCTGTAGCTTTAAGCTCTAAACGATATAGAATTTATGCAAATGCATTAAAGAATTCAAGCTTAGCAAATTACACCCAAGGATGTTATTAAACTATATAGAAAGTGAATAGCAAATACAGAATTGAGTCCTTCTGTTTTTCCTTATAGCCTTGCACACTAACAAAATTTTGATGACAGTTCTGTAATATTAAACATTAGGTAACCAGGGGTGTTAGGAAACCTAACTACATAAACCAATTTAAAATACTCAAGATGATTTTGTAGTGTTTAACACAACACAGTTCAAGTCAAGGGCACAAGACAACATTATCAAAAATAATCACATTAATTGAACTAGAAATCAAATGTAAATAGGTATGAATACAATCTCAAAAAGCTGTGTTTTTTAGTGAACATTAACCATTTATTCAAAGTTATACAAGAATTTAAAGGAATAAAGTCTTCTGTGACATAGAGCCATTTTGAATAGTTCCATGTCTCAGCTGAGCAGGAGGAGAGAGGATGAAAGAACAAGTGAGGAGGCCATGTGTGGGCACTAGACAGTGACAACCAACTCAGCAGCAGTCTCCCCCTGCCTGCTGTCCTCCTTGACTGTCTGTATGTGTGACATTAGTAGCAGCATGCTGAGGCCCAATTTTAATGCCACTTGCGTCACTATTAATGTCAAAGACTCCTTCTTGAATTTTTTCATAAATTTCCTTTGCTGTCTTAATAAATGCTTCTTCTACATTGGAAGCAGTCTTAGCAGAAGTTTCCATGAAGGTAAGGCCGTGCTCTCGTGCGAAAGCTTCACCTTCTTCTTTTTTTACTTCTCTTCTACATTCTAAGTCACTTTTATTTCCAATAAGCATAATAACCATGTTGGAACTGGAATGCTGACGGGCATCTTCTAACCAGGTTGTCAAGTGGTTGAATGTCTCTCTCCTTGTAATGTCATATACTAGTAGAGCACCGGCTGCACCTCTGTAGTAAGACCTTGTGATGGAGCGAAAGGACTCTTGCCCAGCTGTATCCCATATCTGAAGTTTTATCTGTTTTCCATCAATAGTTATCATTCGAGCACCAAACTCTACGCCAATAGTAAGGTCATGGACTGGCTGAAACCTCTTGTCTGTAAACTGAAGCAATAAGCACGATTTACCAACGCCCGTATCGCCTATAATAATGTACTTGAAGAGATAGGCATAAGCCATGGCTGCGGACGTTCAGTACCAGGGCACAAGGCTCTTGCTCCTCCTCCGCACTCTTCACTCTGGCGCCCTCACGCTCCAAACGCCAGGCCCCTCCAGCCGTCTTGAGCTGCCCGGATGAGGAACCGAGATGAAGCAAGACAAGCTGAAACTAGAGGAGGAGAGAAGACATAGTGCCTGGCTGAAAGCAACAGAAAAATAACGGCTGCAGCGCCGACCCGGAAGTGATGCGACCATTAGAGCCACCGGAGAAAAGGGGAGGGGCGCCGCCGGAGAAAAGGGGCGGAGCCCCGTATTCTGGCCGCACCAGTCCTGCGGGGGCAGAGTTCTGCCTCTTTTGATCTTTCTTTACTGCTTTCTCTTTTCATCTTCCCTCTTACTGGTTTTTCTAAGTGTTTTTTGAACTTTTATTCTTCTTTTTATTTTAGCTCTTATTTCTCTGTAGCATTATTTTCCTGTCCCTCTTTTCTCTTTTTTAGTTATTCTTTTTTTCAAGTTGCTACCTATTTTTAAAAGGAGCTCTGGTAGCATAGTGGTTGCGAGTAGGGCTGCTAACCTCAGGGTCATCAGTTCGAAACTACCAGCTGTTCCGTGGAAGAACTATGAGGCATTCTGCACCTGTAAAGATTTACAGCTTCAGAAACCCTGTACAGGGTCGCTATGAGTCGGAACTGACTCCACGGCACACAACAACAACAACAACCTGTTTTTAAAGGAGCTCTGGTAGCATAATGGCTACGTGTCGGGCTGCGAACCCGCAAGGTCAGGAGTTCGAAACTACCAGCTGTTCTGCGGGAGAAAGAGGAGGCTTTCTGTTCCCATAAAGATTTACAGCCTCGGAAACCCTGTAGAGGGTCGCTATGAGTCGGAACCGACTCCCAGACAAATAACAACAACAACCTGTCTTATTTTCTCCTTCATTATTTTCTTTTTTAAACATTTATTTAGTCTGTTTTCTTGTGTGTGTGAATTGTGTGTGGGGGAGAGGGGTTTCTCCTGTCTTCTAATAGACAGGAGACAGCAACTTAGCCCATACAGCCAGCCACAACCATACCCTGTGCACCTCCACTGGGCAAGGGTTAATAACAGCTCCTCTACCACCTGATCAAGGATAGTCAGCAGCCAATACCAACTAAACCCACCTAAGCTGAGTTGTACTAATGGTGGATGAGAATCGTGTACACGCTTCCAGCCTCTGACTACACCCACAGGAGACAGTTGGTAAAAACCTTAGAACACATCAACACACAATGATCAATTAAATACAAATATGATAACCCCACAAGTCCCAGAGACAACCGAAAATTTTAGCTCACGTGAAGAAACTAGGCAGAATGGCTCAACACATGACTAATATGCAGAGCCAGAAAATGTTTCTGAGGAAGGAAAGAAACTAATTGAAAGAGTATTCAAAAAAAAAAAAAAAATTATATTTAGGTACCTTATAAGGACTGATGAAATACGGAAAACACAGAATATTGAATGTAAAGCTAATGATTATGTCTGTAAGCCTTCATTCAATTCACAATAAATTTAAAAAGACAAAAAAATGCCAACCAAGAATCATATACTCAACAAAGTTGTTCCTCAAATTGACAGTGAAATTAGGACATTTCCAGATAAACAGAAATTAAAAGAATTTGTATTTTTCCAGACCAGCTTTATAAAAGATACTAAACGGTGTTTTTTGGGCTGAAAACCAACAACAGCAGACAAAAACGTGGGATTAGCATACATGACAATACCTCCCAGAATCAATCCCGATATTGTTCTTGTTGTTGTTAAATGCTGTCAAGTCGATTCTGACTCATAGCAACCCTGCATAGGGTTTCTGAGACTTTTAAATCATCGTGGGAGAAGAAAGCCTCGTTTTTCTCCCATGGAGCAGCTGGTGAGTTCGAACTGTGGACCTTGTGGCTTGTAGTCCAGTGCTTATCATAAGCCACTGCGCTCAATTCAGATATTGTTGTTGTTGTTGTTAGGTTCTATCAAGTCGGTACCGACCCATAGTGACCTTATGCACAACAAAACGAAACACTGCCCGATCCTGGGCCAACCTCACTACTGTTGCCACGCTTGAGTTTGTTGATGCTGCCGCTTGGCCAATCAATCTTGTTGAGGGTCTTCCTCTTTTTCCCTGACCCTCACCTTACCAAACATGGTATCCTTCTCCAGTGACTGCTCCCTCCTGACAATATGTCCGAAGTATGAGAGACGAAGTTTGGCCATTTTGGCCTACAAGGAGCACTCTGGCTGCACTTCTTCCAAAATGGATCTATTGGTTCTTTTGGCAGCCAATAGCACTTTCGGTATATTCAAGGGAATCCCATGTGTGCCAGAGTAGAACTGTGCTCTATAGGGTTTTTAGTGGCTGAGTTAGAAGTAGACCTCAGGCCTTTCCAGGAGCCTCCAAGTGGACTTGAACTTTGAACTTTTTGGTTAGCAGCCCAACATTTCAACCACTGCACTACTTAGAGATGGAATAAAACTAGTGTGACAGCTCATAAAAGAAAGGTTGGGAATTGTGAGTGAAACAGTTCAGTGGTTGTCTTAGTTTGGGTTTACGAAAAGAGCCCAAGAAGCCTATAGGAAAGTGGAGAAGGGATGGAAGCTATCAATGGGCACATTATCTTCTGAGAATTGCAGGGAACCAGATTGGAACACAGTCTCAGAGGTATGGAGCAAGAGCTGGAGTAGTCATCCACCAAATTACGTCTGTCATTGGTCAAGGGCGAGGGCTACTTCCAAGGCCACAAATTCCTCAGCACTTCTCATGTCCTGGTTTTAGCCTGGGCAACGAGTTGTCAGTACTGCCAGTTGAAAGTAGCCAGTCAGTATGATTGCTGATAGGATATGGGTAGGCCACTGGCAACTTCTGTATTTTTTTTGTTGTTAGTGCCATGGAGTCAGTTCAGACTCATAGTGATCCTGTAAAGGGTTTACAAGGAGTAGCTAGTGGGTTTGAACTGCCAACCTTGAGGTGAGCAGTCCTACAGCACCACACCAGGACTCTGATGGTAGGGGTGGTGATATGCCGTGGAGTCGGTTCCGACTCGTAGCAACCCTGTACAGCGTTTCCAAGGTTGTAAATCTTTATGGTAGCAGAAAGCCTCATCTTTCTCCCGCAGAACAGCTAGTAGTTTCGAACTGCTGAACTTGAGGTTCACAGCTCAATTCGTAACCACTACGACTCTACTACAGTGGTTATAAAGTGCTTTGGAGAACTTGGGTGGAACAAACTCCAGGATCCTTTTGTTGTTGTTGTTAAGTGCTATGGAGTCAGTTTTGACTCATAAAGAGTCTGTGTAGGGTTTCTGAGACATCTTTTAATCTTTTGCAGGAACCTTGTAGTTCAACTCCATCTGTACCACCACACCAGGATGCCTCAGGATTCCTTTAGGTCTGGCTAAATGCCATAGATGTGGTGCTGTACAATAAGCAGTGGACTTTGAACCATAAAATCAGTGGTTCAAACCCACCAGTTGCTCTTCGGAAACTCTGTACAGGGTCGTTATGAGTTGGAACTGACTCAATGGCACTTAACAACAACATAACAACAAATGTCACAGGCGCACTTGTGGCACAGTGATTAAGTACTCAGCTGCTAACCTGGAAGTTCTATATAGTTCAAACCCACCAGTAGCTCTAGTAAAAATTATGGCCTAGGAAACCCTGGGGGGATTGTTCTACTCTGTTACACAGGGTTGATATGAGTCTGAATTAAATTGACGGCACAAAACAACAACAAATGTCACTTTTACACTGAAGATCATCCTCTATAAAGAACGAGCTCCCTCAGACTATATCCTACCTTTTATTCTCACCTCAGTCCTGGTTTCTTTTCTCCTCAACAGGGTTCAGTTAGCAATTATTTTGTTTATTTTGTCTGTCTCCTTCTCTAGAATGCAGCCTCTGTAAGGACAAGAACTGTGTGTATCTTCTTGATTATCTCTCATAACGCTGCCAGATTTTACAAATGAAAATACAGAAGGTCCAGTTACATTTTAATTTCAGACAAAACAAAAATAGTTTTTAGTATGCTGCTGCTGTGTGGCCATCAAGTTGATTCTGACTCATAGTGACTCCTTATAGGGATTCTGAGGCTGCAGATCAAGGACGGGGAACCTTTTTTCTACCAAGGGCCATTTGGATATTTATAACATCATTCTTGGCCCATAAAAATTATCAACTTAAAAATTAGCTTGCTATGTTTGGTCAAACATTTAATTAACTCACTCCTAATGTGATGATCCATTTTGGAAGAAGTGTAGCCAGAGTGCTCCTTGTAGGCCAAGATGGCCAAACTTCATATCTCATACTTGAGACATATTGTCAGGAGGAACCAGTCACTGGAGAAGGATATCATGTTTGGTAGGGTGGAGGGTCAGAGAAAAAGAGGAAGACCCCCCACAAGATGGATTGGCAAAGTGGCAGCATCAATGGGCTCAAGCATGGCAACGACCCAGGATCGGGCAGTGTTTCGTTCTGCTGTGTATAAGGTCGCTATGAGTCGGTGCCAACTCGATGACACCTAACAACAACAACAACAACAGCAATGTGATGATGTCTGGAACTGCAATTGCCTTGGCAGGGCTAGACCAAATCATTTCCATGGTCTAGTTGAGCTGCCAACCTCAAAGTCAGCAGTTCGAAACTACCAGCAGTTCCACACGAGAAAGATGAGACTTTCTGCTCCTGTAAAGATTTACAGCCTTGGGGCTCTGGTAGCGTAGTGGTTAGGAATCGGGCTGCGAACCTCAAGGTCAGCAGTTCGAAACCACTAGCTGTGCCACAGGAGAAAGATGAGGCTTTCTGCTCCCGTAAAGATGAACTAGAAGATGAACTAGAAGATGAAATAGAAGAATTCTACCAACTTCTTCAATCTGAAATTAATCAAACATGCAATCAAGATGTATTGCTCATTACTAGTGATTGGAATGCAAAGGTTGGGAGCAAAGAGGAAGGACCAGTAGTTGGAAATTTTGGACTTGGTGATAGAAATG